GAAACGAATCTCATAAAGGTTTTACTGGCCGACGATGAGAAAAGACATCACTGAACACATCCGAGAGTGCATAGAATGTCAAAGATACAAACCAACGAATCTTAAGCCTTCTGGTTTGACTCAGACTTCTGTTCTCGCTCAGCGATTTGAAACAGCTATGGATTTATTTGGACCACTGGTGAAAACAGGTGAAAACAAGTTAACAAAAAGTTTCAACAATCAAGAAAAATACAGTCCACAATACAAGAAGAGAAGAAAAGACGACACTCGACCCATTGAAGGCCGATTCGTCAACAGACTTCAATCTGTCTTTTTGATATTATCCAGCTCAATTTCTGGGCCTGTGCACATTACATCTATAACGTAAAAATAATAAATACGACATGAATTTAACAATGCTATTAATTTTTCATAATTTCTGTAGATATAACTGCAATTTTTTAAATAAAGTATACGGTCTTGTGATTTTATTTTTAAGGGGTGAATAAACACCTTAAAAAAATGTGATTAACGCTAAAACACCCCAATGAAATTCAAACAATGAGAGAGATATGATTTTTTTTAAATTTATACTACTTCCGATTTTATTAATGGATTGGTAGGGAGGGTCCGGTTAGATGGCCTCCACGGTCACCCGACCTTACTCCACTCGATTTTTATTTATGAGGCTTGATCAAAAGCATGATCTTCGTAACCGTGTTGAACTAGCTGCGAACACCATTAGACAACAAGGCCTAGGATTTGGATGTTATGCCAATTCATGGACAATAAGGCGATTACTTTGAGAACCTGTTGTAGTGTTTTTCTAATTATTAAGTGATTACATAGTTTTTGAAAATAAAAATGTTATAAATTTAAAAAATTTATATCTCCCAGTGTTTGACTTTTATTGGGGTGTTTGAGCGTTAATCACATTTTTTAAAGGTGTTTATTCACCCCTTAAAAATGAAATCACAAGACCGTAAACACCCGTATATTGACTACATCCAACCTCCAACTCAATTATCAGCTAAAAGTGGCTTTTTAAATTTTTTACTAAAAGCTTTTACCAGGTAGGTACTTGTTATTGAACTTCAAAAACTTTGATCCGAAAGCCTCAGGCAAACATGCAACACGAAATCTAATTTTAAAGCTAAACAACAAAATTTGTAAGAGCACAAATTCGCTTTCTAAAATTTTAATAAGTTGGCAAACCCTAATCCCGAAGTAGAATGTCTGTTTTATGTCGGTCATAGTTCAGAAAACGCGAGAGAGAAGGCATACTTCCCAGCTCTCCGTCGAAAGTTCATTAAGACCGAGACTTTTGTGCCAAAGTTGACTGTTTTAAAACCAATAAAGTTTTAACGGGGGACCCGAAGTCTTTATTTTAAAATCGCGAATAATTGCTGCCGTTAAATTTTTATTTTGTCTTTTTGAATTTGTTTATTTTTAACCCCTGTGCCAAGTTAATAAATAAAATTCAATTTGTCGAGTGGAAAAACATAAAATTTTCCAACGGATTGTTTGTTGTTTTCGCAGTACATTTAAAATATAGAAAAATTTTTGTTCATTGAAATAAAAAAAGTTAATGTTTCAATTTTTCAGGAAATGCTCCATCAATTTTGTTTTTCGTAGGTGAAATATAACGGATCTTGCCTAGTGAAAAATCACAACCAAATATAATGTTTTGATTATGATGCGCATTTGGAACAAAAATTGAATTCTCAAAAGTACCTACATTTTAATTGAAAAGGGATTTGTTTTTGGTACAGGGAATTAAAGATTAATAGAATAAAACCGGATTTTTTTGTTTGTTTCAAATAATGTACCTGAACCTTTGTTGACCTTTTTTATTTACATTTTTTGGTGTTTTGAAATTGATATGCCTAAACTTTCATATGGGAAAAATAAATTTGGGTTTTCTTCAAGTTGAATCTTCTTGTTCTAAATTAAAATTTTGGGTTGTTTTACATGCTCGAACTAATTGAAGAGATGATGAAAATGAGTGGAGATTTGTTGAGATCGTTGTGAGACTGAAACCAGCATCCCTATCGAAAGAATTTGGAATGTTTTTTTCTGGAACGCAGAGCCAAAGATCTTCAACAATTCATTCACTTCAGACAAACCTCTTGAAACTCTCAAATCATCTCCACGTATTTCTTGGATTTAAGGCTCTCGAAGCCATCACATCATCGAATATCATCATATTCTATTCTATAGGCCGATTCTCTTGTATGCATTGATAATTGCCTGAACATCTTTCTCTGTATTGGTCATCACGACGTTATTATTTGCATATTGAAGTTCAATTATCGACTAAGCTCGTTCTCGAGTACTGAAAAAATCCAGGGTATTGAACTCATTAGAGATTCGGGATGCTCTGGAGATAAAAGTGTTCGAGCCATAGTTAGTCCGGTGGATGTTTTCTGAGAAGGTAGTGGAGGAAGAGCGAGTGGTTCTTGCTGTGATATGAAGTTCAAGTCTGGATAGTAGCTATATAGAATCGTTGTGAGAGTTTAGTATTTTGAAAAATGTTAATAAATCCCTTTGATTTCGTCTGACGGCTAAGGGTTGCAGGTTGAAAAGTCATCATAGTTGTAGATATAATTTACAACAGGAGGAATACCTGCCTTGAAGGCCAAGTACCATACAAAGTTGCGCTGCACCTGCTCCAAGACGTTGATATGGTCAGAATACATAGGTGACCAAACCGAGGAGCAGGTACTCCAAGATGGGCCTATCATTGTGCAGTAGAGAAGCCTGATGGAAGAAATATTAGTGAAGTCCCTTGAAAATATTTCAACAAAGCCCAACAGTTTCAGTCAGAGACCTAATATGTGTCTGGAAAAGCTTAACGTGTTATCAAAAATGACACCGAGATCACATTGTTGGGACACTGTTTCAAGTGATTCATTGCCTATGTGGTAAACAAATTGTGGCATTGACTTTTGGAGAAAACGATAGTTTGACATTTAAAGGCATTGAGTTCCATACCACTTATGATACACCTTTGGAAAGTCTATCCAAGTCAGATTGTAGTCTGGTACAGTCTTCGTGGGAGGAGACTCGGGCGAATATCTTTAAGTCATCAGCAAAACACAGAAACTGACTTTTAATGAAACAAGAACCAATATCGTTGATGAAAATATTGAATAGTAGGGGTCCCAGGTGAGATCTTTTTCGTACAACTGAGGGGATGTTGTAATGACCCGGCAAAATAGACCCGTAATTTACAATGCCTTCACTGTAAAAACATTAAATGTAAACAAATAATCAAAAACTGAATCTCTAATAAATTAATATCAGTATCAATAAATTGAAAATAAAATCAATAAAAAATGACCCAAATTAATTAAAATATCTAAAAACGATTACTTTCCTATCATTTAGTCATCAAATAAATAAATCAGATCCATAAGATTGTCAAAAGCGAGGCCAAAGTAATTAAATCGGTGATTTATGGCCGAGACGTCGACACGTGTGTCGGTTTTCTTCGACTTATATGTCCTCACATTCCTATACGAAATCTGTTGACCCCGATAAACTAGAAAATTGCGACATAATTATTCGATTTTAAACAAATAGAAAAGGAAGGTTAATGAATGATGGATAAGAATTTTGGGGGAATCGAATAATATAAATAGAGGCGGTTTTAGAAGTAGAGGATCAGATGTTAGTTAGTTCAGTTTAAGTTCAGTCCAGTTTGAGTTAAATCTACAGTACCTAATAAGTCAGTCCGGTTAAAATTCGCGAAGAGTTTTTTTTTTTTTAATTTTGTTGCCTCGGGAAAACGCGTTAAGTTAAAAGTAACGGAAAATTGTGAAAGAAAGAACATTTAGTCATTCAACAATATGTGCGAGCTCTAGAGATTTTTGAAGCAAATTAATCAAGTAATTTTACGAGTGAAAACTTAAATGTAAGTACGCTAGTGACTAGTGAGTAATACATTTTAGGAGAATATAACATAAATGAAGTAGAAATGTATTCATTCGTAATCTGTTTAGGTTGAATGAACTGCCATCAAGTCTGCACAGGATTTCCACTCCTGAGGACAAGATGAAGTATGGATCCTATAAATAGAGAAAATTAAATAGGAGCAATAACACAGCCCTGTAGTTATTTGGAAAGACTATTCGTCTTTGCTTAGGACGGTTGCATTCATATTATCATACAGCAGGTCAAGTCAATATCTTCTAAAGAGCTTCTCTGTTGACTGAATCCAATATATTCTCTCTCAGTCGAATGAAGTCAAGGATTTCTCTGGTGAATAGTTGTTTTCTAGCAAATTTCAAAGCTCTCCAATTTTTCTATAATGAACTTAAGTTCGTTATCATTCGTGTATAGTTTATTGGATAACGTCTCATCGGTTCCAAATCAACCTCATACAAACGATCCAGCTTGATCATTCATTTTTGTATTGCTTCATTTTCCCCAATTTCTTATTTTCCTATATTTAGAAATGAAAAGGCCCTATACCTGAATACAAAACCATATAAAAATATTAAGTTACATAACAAATAGCAGGCAAAACGATATTGTCGAACGTATATTGCAACATTTTCATCTCAACAATATATCTAAAAATATTTATTGAAAGAGATACATAAACATAAAAGTGCTTTCATATTTTCCGTTATATTCATCGTATAAACCACCCTCTTTCGTATAACTTTGTTATTCACACGTCATAAGTGGAGCTATTGTTGTAGGTATTGCCAAAGTTTAAAAATGTTTTTCACCCTACTATAATGAACAACATAATAATTAAATTCGATACCATTGAATAATTAGTGGGGAGTCCTAATTGATGTTTTTGGTTTAAAATGAAATCCAATCGTCCGTGAAACATAATGTTTTATTTAAATTTAATTTCTGCATGAATACTTTTGTTGGTTCGCTGCTGTGCGTTAATGGCTCAGATTAAATTATATTATAATATATTGTAATGGAAATTATTTGTAAATTTTATACTTTATCAATGTTTGTCAAGAAACTTTAATTATGATATTTATTAGTTTTACCTTTAAAATCCAAATTTGTATGCTAAACAGTTCAAACACAAAAACAAATCACCTTATGGAAATAATTCACAATTGTCACAAAAAAAAAATAATTCTTCTAAAAAAAGTTTCAAAAATTCGCGCCCGTTCTTGTTAATAGAGGTCGCACCGAGCGACAGCATCCGAAGATCGCAACAACAACTGACGATGCCGGATGGAAAGCTCCGGCAGGCAATGCACGGATTTGCTTGACGTTCAGCATGCGCTCCGAGTCTGGATATAGAGCGGGCGACGGGATCTTTCCTGGATATATGGACGGTTTGCATTACTACAGTCTATGATGGCTATTAGTAGACTAACTTGTGGTCGACCAGGAGTCTCTAGAGTCTAATTGGGATTGTAAAGATACAGCGATGGAATTTCGATTAGTTTTAGAGGCTCGAGAAAATTTAATCCGGAATTTTGCGGATATAGATAATAACAATTTAAAAATTCCTGTGACCCTTTTCGTGAATATAGCCTTTTATTTGGTTATATTTTGAACTATCTGATACCTACCAGATGGGTACTTTATATCGCGGTATAACCGTTGTTTTAGTCGTCCCATCCTTCTCTCAACATTCATGCCCATTTGGTCACCTGGTCCTGGGACATTTTTCATCATTCTGGACTACATGACCGCTTCATTTCAAGGAGCTTTCCGCAGCATCCTCTGTACTATCATCTTGTTTTTTATCCAGTAATTTGTGACTTTTCCAGTACACGCCTTGAGAGACTTTATATTAGTTTGTCTCCTCTATTTGTACTGTTTGAAGCTTCTCCGTGGCGCCTTATTTTCTCTTAGGCTTGCTCTTTACTAAGATATAGTTCGATTTTTTTTAATCGCTGGTCTAAATTGTTGATTTAATTAATTGGAGAGGGGAGCCTTTAAAACATCCCCCTCTTGGTGCAGCACTCGCTTACCTTAGGAGCCCGCAACTTACAAGAAAAGCGGTCAGACATGCTTTATTTCATGTAGATTGCGACTGACGAGGACGTCGTATTCACAAACTATATGCTTGGTAATTTCATCTGCTTCGCTGCAAAACCTGTATTCCATCTCATAACTGAGTCCTATTTTCAGGTGGTGGTTTTAAGTTGGCTCTTGTTTAGTTTTAGGAAGGAAGCCTCTTTGAAGTTTGAAGGACCTTGTATGTCTTGGAACTAGCTGTTGGACCAGTTGGTTTTCACCAGTCCGGAAGGAACCCCAGTGCAGGCTCTAGCCCAATAAAAGCAGTGTTGCTCCCTTCACGACCCAAGCAAGGGTGACCTTGTTGAGCCCACTGAAAAGTTCAAGGGTTGTCGTACAGTCAAGTATGAGCCTTGAGTTGACTTTTTCTAAGCTAAGGGCTTAGAGCCTGACTGTTGCTGCATATATCAATATGCTTACTCTAGAAATATCTCTAAAGATTCTCCTGATCACACACCGATACACTAGCCTCTGCACCCTCTTCCATCAGAGACCCGTCTGTGTACTAGAGAAGCTTCTTCGGCTTGAGGGTCGTTTTTCGCAAGGATGATGACCTATGTCGTCTAGGGGGGCTGAAGTTTTTGGCCTTATATCCCTTCTGGTCCTGCCTGTTATTATCAGCACAGAGGCCTTTGTATGGCCCATCTGTATCTGTATCTGTAAGTTTGGGAGGGTGGTATGCCACAGCACTTAGGCCGCATTAGGTCCATTGTGCACCTCCACAAGAGAAGTCATCCTTAGCTCGTTATCCAGCCTAACGATTCAACGTAGGCGATGACGTCGCCAAGGGCGGTGCCTCTGATCTCTTCTAGTGATGGGTAGAACAGTGCAGTGACAGAGTATGTGCTCTATCGTCTCGTCGTCTTGATTGCAAACCCCTTCACAAGGGTGTGGTACTGAGATGCAACCTAAACAAATGTCCTTTGACCCAGCTGACTACCACCGTATTATTGATCGACGCCTAGAATTGTTTTTTGGACCCGAGAAAATATGAAATTATGAGAAGAGAGGAGCGTGGCGCGTGTTGTGTCAGGTGGTCCCAGTCTCCTTCTAGGTGTAGGTCGCGTAGGAATATTTAATTTCGGCATCTTTCTCCCTCTGTTCGAGGTCTATAAACCTAGCAGTCCCAAGGTGGAAAAAAACTTCGGGAACTATATAATAAATAGGTGCTTTTTAGGTGCTAATTAGGGCCTCTAATTGAAAATTAGGTGCTCCTTTAGTTTTTGAGAAAATCAAAAAAAACTAAGTTTTTTCTTTGTATTAGAATTAGGTGCTTTTTAGGTGCTCCTAAATAGTCCAAGAAAAAATAGAATTGATTAATTATTAACTAAGTTACAGATTTTTTTTTAATTATTAGGGGACTGCTGGCTTTACGTTTACATGTTGGTGTGTCAGAATAGCAAAAAAACTTCGGGATCTATATAATAATTAGGTGCTTTTTAGGTGCTCCTAAATAGTCATAGTTAAAAATTAGGTGCTCCACTAGTTTTTGAGAAAATCAAAAAAAACTAAGGGATTGCTAGGTTTATGAAAGCTAGTAGTCCCCTTTAGTAAAAAATATTTTTTAAAACTATCTTTTGTATCAGAATTAGGTGCTTTTTAGGTGCTCCTAAATAGTCGAAGAAAAAATAGAGTTGAATAATTATTAACTGAGTTACAGATTTTTTTTTTAAATTATTAGGGGTCTGTTGGCTTTACGTTTACATGTTGGTATATCAGAATGGAAAAAAACTTCGGGATCTATATAATAATTAGGTGCGTTTCAGGTGCTAATTAGGACCTCTAATTGAAAAAATATTTTTTTTTTACTATAGGGAACTGCTAGCATTCATAAACCTAGCAGTCCCTCAGTTTTTTTTGATTTTCTCAAAAACTAAATAAAGGAGCACCTAATTTTTATTTAGAGGCCCTAATTAGCACCTAATTATTATATAGATCCCGAAGTTTTTTCCATTCTGACACACCAACATGTAAACGTAAAGCCAGCAGTCCCCTAATAATGAAAAAAAAATTTGTAACTCAGTTAATAATCAATCACTTCAATTTTTTCTTCGACTATTCAGGAGTGTTGGATAAACTGATATTCATATCAGTGAAACAAAACTTAATAAATTAAACTTTGATTATTAGCCTATACTTTACTAATTTATATAACAGCTATGGATGACTGAATGTGTTTATAATAGTTTTTATATATAAGGTAAACAGATGGGGAATCGTTTACTTAAAAAAGGGTTTGTAATTCTTTCTTTTGATGTTGAGTCAGTTCGTATAGTTATTTCTATGAGTTAACACGCTCTGCTTTCGACGCTGTGTTCGATATAATAAATATATTGAATATCGATCATTAACAAGTTCTTTTATTTCTTAGTCCATTTCCCAATAGGTTATGGGACCAGTGTACGTGTATTCATTGCGGTTGTGAAAACCGGGCGTGTTTAATATGACAATGGAAAATTTGGAACTAAAAAGAAACAAAAGGCTTCATGCTAACAGAGCTTGAACTTATATAAGAACACCAGAGCTCAGTAATTTAGAAATATTTATCTTTGAGGATATTTTAAAATCGATTTTAAAAGACGCAATTTCGAAAAAAAAAAAATCAAGTCTCTGAAACACAATGAAAAAAGTGAAACAAAACAAATCCATCAATAAAAAAAAAAAAAAAATGGAACCCTTATAATAGCAACCAAAAAGCACAATTAGTATACCCAGTAATATGGGCATACAGGAAAGTCTTTAGTATAGGGTGGACTATCCAGAGAGGTTCCTTACAATTTGCTGTCCGTAAGAAAAATGCAAAGGGCTAGTAAGACTATTGCTTAAAAAAAAAACGTGCTAGTATTCACAAAGGCGGTAAGCTTAAAATTTATGGGTAAGTCTTTGAACACTTTAATAATAATTGCTCTTGAACTCACTGTTATTGGAAATTAAAAAAAAAAACATTATTATTCAAGCAAATAGTGACAATTAAATAAAAATAAAAATTATCAATTGTGGTTTGAACTTTTGGTACACATTGGTGAGGTTTAAATTATTAAATTATTATAACAAAAAAAAAAAAAGAGAGTTCGAGGACTTATCGATCAGGTTATACAATGAGTATTTATGTGGAGCGTGCATAAACAAGCGCGACTTCCATTCCAAAAACATTGTACTGTTTGTGCATGAATTTACTTACTATTGTGTAACATATTTGATCAGTCATAAGTCATACGTATTTTGTATGTTTCAAGATTCAGTTGCTGAAAGTGGGGCACATTTCAATTTACAGATTTTCAATGTATTCTGTGATAATGAAGGTGAATATCTACCTACTGGAATGAGAGATTTTTGGTATGCAAAAAGGTAAGTCATCATTTGACAATTCCATGAACTCCACAAATTAAATGATGCAGCTATATATAAAAAAAAAAATTGGAGGCAGTTTTAACTGCAACATTCTCACTTAGCTTGTAGCAATTATTTTCCTGATTTTTTCTGATTCCGGAAAACAACCACTAAACATATAAGCACGGCAGCTTTTCATCAGTGGCATTGGGAAATGGGTTCAGATAATATTTGCTTGATTTTGACCTTGCCATTTGGACGCCACTAATTTTTTTAAGTGAGAGATTACTTACATAATTATTACAGTTTAAATAATGTTGATATGTCAATTAAGAAAAAAAATTAGAAAAACTTAATTTGAAAAGTACCTGAAACTGTGACCTGAAAATAAGAAAGATACTCTAAACAAATACTCAGTACTCCCCAAAAAATGAAACTTTATTTTCCTGGACAACAGTAAGGAACACACTGTACACTGTACAATTGCACCGGTGTATAATATTGTAGAATTTTGTAATAATTAAAGTTATGAGAAAGTTATGAAAATTTAAGTTAAAGATAAATTTTGATATTGAACAGGATTGTTAAATATATATAGCACTATTTGGTTGAATTGTACTACCCTAAATAATTATATCACGGAAAACCTGGGGAAAATTCATGAATCTTCGGGGTTTTGGGGTCTTACTCAAAAATACCTGAATAATATACGCAATAAAAATAAAATAAAAAAATACCAAATCGGCTATTCACATTATACCTTAATATAGATAAATCATTATTTCAAAAACTAAAAAAAATGTAAGAAAATGTTTGAAAGTTAAAGCATATTTT